ATTCGACTTGGAATCGCGATTAAAGTCATCGTCAGGCACTGTCAATGATTATTTTGCATTTCTTGCACGGCATATCTTAAGTTGGAATGAAGAATACAGTGAATGCATTGGAATTTTTATCAATTACATCAATACCATTTGCATTGATCAATTACAATTATTAACGCTTCCGTCTCGTATTCTGATTGTACTAACAGATGGAAGAGATGAAAATAACGCTGCTTATTGTCGAAATAAGAATGTCATTGTACTTCCTCAAGATAGGGTTTAGATGCATGAACGAAACCGTCAAGTGTTCATCCATGAATTGTTCCATATATGGAGTAAGCAGGATATCAACATGGAGATTCGTGATGAATTATATGCCAGTATTGGTTATTATCGAATACCGACCGAAAGCCAAGTCGAATTTCCCGCAAGTCTTTCGGAGATAAAGATCACAAATCCAGATGCACCATTGGTAATGAAATACTTTATTAATTTGACAAAGCGGGAAGATACCAGTGACAAAACATATAAGTGCACGCCAATCTTACACGCCTCTCGCCCTTTTGATCCAGCATTTTTCACCAATATGTTTCGTTATTTCGTCGCAACTACATTAATCTTAGATGATGATACATATGAACCATTACAACCATTAGAATATCTACCCTATGATCAAACGAAAGATTTTCTTGATCAGATTGGAGAGAATACGCATTATATTATACATCCGGAGGAAATTCTGGCAGAAAATTTTGTTCTATGGATGATTTCATCCCAAGATCCGGATCAATTGAAAACTCCAGCAATCGTGCAAAGGATGAACGATATCATTGCTAGGGCTGCTACATCAATACCATCTAATAACGGTAACATCCTCTAATAAGAACAAGCAACGTTCGTCCAGGGACTCGCTGAGCTCTTTCTCGTAGAAATCATTTTTCTGAACTACCACCAAATTATTTGTGTAGTGGGTGAATCCACGGGAAGCGTATCATCTTTGTGGAAAGTACTTTTTTTAGTGATCCCAGCCCGCGAGCCGGTGTAGAAAATCTAAGAGGGAAAGCACAGAATCCTGGAATCCCACGGAATCTCACGGAATCCAATGGAATCCAAAGGCATCCAATGGAATCCAATGGAATCTAGTGGAACCATATATGAGCAGATTTTGTTTTACATTTACTTATACGTGGTTGGATAGAGGTCATCGACATGATTATAAAAAAGTGGTTCTTAATTTTTCCAACTATACTTTTAATGGAGAAAGTTTTAAAATATTTAAATAACCTATAATCGTCAAAAAAGGCTAAATTTTCGAAAATACGTTAAATCTTTGTTTTGACGTTCTTTTCAAATGGTTTTTCAGATTCAGCATAAGAAACTGGGTATAGGAAACTATGTTTGCGAATTACTGACTAAAAAAGTTCATCGCATTTTCTTCAGCGGCGACACAGAGGCCAAAATACTCGTAGTGTATTTCGTATATGTATCGTACATTAATATATTTGAATATGACAATGTAAGTCATCCATGAAGACGTTCTGCACTCTGGGAATACTGTACATTTTCCAGTAGAACATGTAGACATGTCAGTTATTTTTCAAATCACCTTTTCATCACTAATATGATCCATTCAATAGTTCCACTTTCCCGGAAAAAGGAGAATTGATAAAAAAATATTTTCTGTAAAATAAAATAAAAGAACTCAGGGAGACAACCGGCAGAACATTTTTTCTACTGTGCCGAAGGAGTCATACTTAACTTCATACGTTGGCTCTCCAAAAAAAGAAGTGCTATGATCATTTTTTTCAATGACTTCATATGAAAACTAGATGCAAAATATTCGCACTGTTTTAGAGAAAATTAATGAATAGGTAACTCTTAGAATATTTAAAAACTGCTATCAGCAAACTT